AGTATTTGATTACTTGGGATGATAAATCAAAATAAATATAAATTAGAAAATGTCATTATGAGTGAAACAAGAAGAATCAATTAATTATTAAAATCATATTTATTCATATTAAAAAACAATTTATTATTTTTTTAATCATTTTTATATTACATTAAGGAGAGTATTTTGGATATTCTTGATAAAAAGAATCAAGAAAATAAGATTCAACTTTATTTTGAGTGTTATTTAGGAATCATATAAATTTAAAAATAAATAAAAAAGTTTAATTTATAATTATATATGTGATAAATTACTATCTTTATTTTAATTTTTAATGAGAATAAGTTATTTTGATTATCAGAATTTTTAAAATTGTAATGTTGATATAAAATAAAAAGGAATTACTTGAGATACTGAAATTTATAAAAAATTCTGATAATCAAAATAGAGTCTCTTGGTGGGCATAATTCACGAATTTTACTCACTAAAAATTTAATCATGTAGAAATTATATCTTTGTAACTATTTTGATATTGGTGACATAGATTACGATATTAGCATATTTATATTTGTCCACTTTATTATTTTAAATGTATAAAATTTCAAAATGTTAGATAAAGAGTCCTTTTGGCATAGGAACTTTTAAAAGTTGATTTTTTATTTTTTCAATATATCTAAACATAAACTCAAGCATTTACAAATAAAAAGAAACAAAATTTCTTTTATAGATGACAAAATTATTAGGAGAAACCAAATTTTTGATCATTATAATAAAATCATATTTTTAATTATTAGAATAGAAATTTAAAATTGATTATGAAAAGGGAAGATTATTCATCATAATATTTATAAGTTAGCATCGAGTTATTTGTATTAAGTCTTGCTATATAGAATTATTTTTTAGAAATTTGAATCCTGAGCAAATGACCAACTATATCTAATAAGGATACACATTTTCGATTTCCTTCTTATTGCCAAAATGAAAATATTTTATTTTAATGGGAACTTGCTTACTCATTTTTTGATTTAGTTATATGAATCTAGGGTAATATATGACTTAATAAATCAATTATAAAGTATATTAAACAATATATAAAACCCATATTTTTCTTTTATATAGTTTTTAGATTAAAATCTTAACACTATTTTGATATTAATCAAATTATAATATAATTTCAAAAATGTAAATCGGAATTATTTTCTCAAAAATTCTAAAGAAAATTGACTTAAATTTTAGGAATGGCATTCTATTTTATTACTGAAATGCTCGCTACAATGAGGAAATAAAGGGTTAAAATGAGCTAGAAAATCATGAAAATGAATAGACAAAAATGAAATTATATGAATAAAACTAACTTATAACAAATAAAAATATATTACCTCAAAGATGATTATTATGATTTAAATAATTGAATTTTTGAAACTTAATTATGTGTAATTTACAATAAAATTTAAAGACGGGAAGGATGATATATTCGGTAAATATAATCACTCCTAAGATAGACATCAAAATAAGGCAATATAGTAATGATAATTTTCAAACAATTAATACGTTTTGCTAATTTAAAAATTATTAACTAGCAAATTTGCCTTATATTCATTAAAGGTAGAAAGTCAAATATTATTTAAGATTCTTAATAGAGTTTGTAAATATTAATTTTAAAAATTAAATAATTTAACATAATCATGTCTAATTATTATTCTTTAATGAAAAGAAGAATAAAGATATTAATAAAAGAACAAAAAATTTTTCTTTTAGTAACATACTATATTTTACAAACGATTAATTAAACAAATATTTCATATTATATAAATAAACTTTATCAGCATTTATTTCAAGTGCTCTAAGTTATGCCCCCTATATTCAAAGAATGGAACAATAATAATATATTAAAGGGAAACCAGCAATGTTATTGGTGTCTAAAGATCTGTATAATAAGATAAATCTTTTAGATACTATTCTTTTGAAATTATAAAGAATTAAGATTATTTATCAAATTATTTGCTGACTTTTTTAATTTCAAATATGACCAATCATTATGTTCCAATAATAAATCAATTTAACATTTTTCCTTATTTAGTTTTATAGGAATTTGCATATGATCATATTATTTATAAATTAGATCATTCATAACTACAAATGCTGGATTATTAAAAAGGAGGGATTAAAGTAATTTACAATCACATAAATATTTTATTATTAATGAAAATAATTTCATTCCCATAAAGAAGGATTTAATTAATTCTACACTTGCTATTAAATATCTAATTTATAAACATATTTTTTAATTACTGTTTTTTGTCATTTATTATAAAAATAAATTATCAATCTACTTTCAGATGTTAATTTGTACTAACTAAATTTTGATAATTAATCTATATACACCCAACAATCAATCTAAAATAGCCTATAACTAAATCTAAGGTACGCCTAAGATCATTTAATAATGTATTCCAAATTTATTTTGTATTTAAATTCTAACTTTTCTCTTCAATTTTTTTATTTCTTATAATATATATAAATTGATATATGTTTTTGATTATTACTAGATTTATAATAATCATAACAAAAATTTAAATTGAAAATAATTCATTTTTTTTATTAATAAATTTGGCACTTAGTTTTAAAAATAAGTATAACTAAAATTGGCTTAATTATGAAACCTAAGATATATAAAAATATTTGTTGATAAATTACGATATTTCAAATTATTTTAATTATTTTACTTTTCTTCTCAATATAAAATTAGTCTCAATTTGAGTTTAAGTATTTATAATTAAAAGCATTTTACATTATTAATGAATGTAGTTTTGTTCAAGCAGTTTAGCTATTAAACATTATGAAAAAAAAGTAATTTCAAAAAACTCAATGCCTCTCTCTATAAAGCTAAAAGTAGAACTTTCATTACATAATAAAAATAATTTAGAAAAGATTGGATGAATTTAGCTTTGAGAGG